AAGCAAAGGAAACAGGAGAGTTAACAAGAATTAGAAAGGGTCACATCTTCTTCTGTGATATATAGGAAAGTAAAAGTCACTTTAGTCAGAAAAGATACCCCAATTCACAAGTATGAAATTTCATAGCTTGGTACCACTGAAGGAGATGAAGAAGAAGCTTTGAAGATTTTGAAGGGTATACTGACTCATCAGTTGAAAAGTAGGTGTCATAAAATTAAAATGACATTAAGAGAGCAAATTTATTCCACAAGATCATGTCACAAGAACTTACATGTTGTAAAGCCTTTATTGCCTTAAGCTGTGGTTCTGCCCAGGAGAAGTATCTCAGTAATTCAACAACCTGCAACAGTAAGGCCTTCCATTAATCCTTCAGATATATTAAAAATGTATGCTAACAGCATCAATATGACCTTTCCACTTTTGCAGCACATTGGTATACTGCTACAAAACATCTGTCTGTGATGGCTGATTGTCATTGCCTATCAGCATCTAACATTCTATTTATTTATAAGTAAGCATCTAAAAATTCTATTTTATGAGATGAAGCTTTTCCATGGAAATATTAAAACACTTACCTTTTTGCATATATTTGCATATATGAATAACAATACCAATGTATTAGAATAAGTAAAAAACCCCCAAGTATCAAGTATTAAATCAAGTATCTCTGAAAAAGCTTATCAACTATCAGGATCCCAAACAGTATATTCCCAAACATACACCAAAAAAAGCCAGCAGGAAAAGAAAGAGGACAAAGAGAATCTAGAAATTATCATGTTACACATTATCTCTATTTAGACAATACACACAAAACATTTCTAAATTCCATTATGATAAATTTATACAACTTTCCAGGCACAAAAAGAATGAAAATGTACTGATTTTGATGACAAAGCAACCTGGAACTCTTTTTAATAGTGTCATGCTGATATGATAACAAGGAATTAGATCTCCCCAATAAATATGAAAAGCTAATATGATCAGCCTCAGTATGACTGAAGACAATCACTGTGTATTACTGAATACACAAAAACAATAACGCCCATTAAACCCATAAGAGCATTGACTTTACCTGTTCACTGGAAAAGTATCCATGAACATATTCAATAGCTTTTAATTTGTACTCAGTCAATACAGCCTAAAAGATACAGGAAAAAAAAGGATGCATAATTAGTGACTCAAAAATTATAATTATAGCACAACCATCTGCTAATCTATTAATCTAAAATCTGCCCCTACAAAGTGACATTTGTATTAATTACATTGCAGCATTTTGAAGTAACAGTGCACTTCTTAGGTAACTGAGAACAGTGAAAAACAGGAAGATGTGATTTAATTCTTCTGTCAAAATAATACTCCTTTTTTATTTACTTAATTTTGTTTTTTTGTTGTTGCTTATAACTGTGCTGAGAGAACATCATCACTCTTCTTTTTCCTTCAATGATTTACATCAACTTAAACAAGATAATTGCTGATTATTAACAGTTGATTATTGGTAACAGTTGATTATTCAGGCAATCTCATTGTATGGCCCCTGTAAACTAAATGACAAAGTATTTTACTTCAGTGAATTTACGAAGAAATTGGATAACGAGTCTATACAGACAGAATTAAATAGACAACAAAGCTTGCTCCAGAGATGGATACTGTCTTATCATTATCCTTATGCATTCCAAATTTTAACAGGCAGTCATACCAAACAAACAATGCACAGTACTTTAATGCAGCACTGGCATTTTGACTTTATGGCAGGACAGTTGTGTTGATAACCACGTGAGCTAACAGCCAGGACCTCCTCCCTCCCCTGTACCCAGCCCTCTGTGACAGGTACAAGATTTAAAGACAGCTAACAGCTGAATTCCTGCCCCAAGCCAATGAAAACACCTTTCTTCCATAGCTTCCAAGTCCCCCCTCTAATGCTTGATCTCGTGTATTCTCAAACCACCTTTAGCTTTACCCACACACTCACTTCTATCTTCCTCCCAACAACCCTCTTCCTAACTGTACATCATTAAGAGACAAACTACCAGACACACTGAAGTCACAGGGGCAGAAAGAATTTCTGCCTTTATGCTCATTTTTTCTTCTATTCCTTCCTCCTCTTCATGTGTTTTGGAAAAAAGCAGGGTATGTATTTTTTTTTACTGAAACAAATGTTACTTTCCCTTCTTAAATCAACAACTGAATGACTTTATAACAAGAGTACAAACAGAAAGCACTGCTATGCATATTTATGGAAGGAACAAACAAACAAACAAACCCCCCCAAAGTTTATTTTGCTAGTACTTGGAAATACATGCAGGGAAAAAGAAAAGTAAGCTACACATAAAGACATTTAAATAATTGTTCCTGCTAACTGTAGGACTGAAAATGGAACACTGGCCAACACAACAAACTTGTAAACTACATAATACAGAAGGTGCTATCACAGAGCTAGAAATGAAGCTTAAACAAAAACATAGCAGCAAAGACAGAAAACCAGCATTCGGATAATGAACATTACACCACAACAGCACAACTATTATTAACACAGCACAGCACTGACCCTTAGATCAACAGCAAGCTGGAATACAGAAATACAAGCAGATAGCAGAGGAAACACAAGTGCCTAAAATCACATGCCTAAACCCTTTTGTCTGAAGTCTTTAGTAATCACAGAGCGTATTCTGAAGGACTGCACTGCAGTAATATAACTGAAACATTGCTCCCTTCCACCATCAGTCATCAGAGAAAGCATTCCTGTGCTAGTCATTCCTTGACCTTTTTTTTTGTGGTTCTCAGATTTTCCACACAAATTCACAAGTTGGGAGGAAAGTCCACACCCTGAAATATCTCAGACTGTCATGTTTTTAGCTGTTTTATGAGAGAGACGTTAGGACCATGACCTTATGCAAAAATGTAGTTGTGATAAGAAAGACACCCCTGGGGCTTCTGATGAACAGTTTTATACCTCGATATGGTTTTATACCTCGATATGGTGCAAAATAATAATACTGCAATTGCAGCCATCACTGCCTCACTCCGAAAAGAAACTGAACTGAAACTCAACTCCAAAACCCAAGTCCAAATAAAGGAAATTTACCTCTCCTAGAAAAACCAACACAACAAAAAATTCTGCTTAATACAAAAATGGTATGGACTACTGTTGTGCCACAAGGAAATCCCATTTGAAACAAGCCCTTCATTGTCACACCAAGACACCTTCAGCAGGTAAACTGTTCTACTGTTACACTTAAATAACCTCTGCTGAACTGCAACAAAATACATTGTCACAGGTTTCTGCTTCCCAGGCAAAACAAGAAACATTAATCTCAAAGGCTCTGATTTTTCCTCGGCTTTTCTCCTTCTAGCGTTCAGGGAAGTGTGCCAAGCACTAACCTCAAGCTTTCCTCTTAAAATCACTCCCCCATGCAGAGAGAAACCAGAGCCTTTCCAGACAAGAGGAAGCCCAGGTTTGTATCTCTGCTCCCCAGAACCTGCAGTATTTTGTTCGGAGAGTTTTAAAACAGAAGATGAAGAAGCACAGCTCAGAGCAATCATCAAAACACAGGATTGACATCCCAGAGAAAGAAGGTGTGCACACAGTCACTCCTGAGCTGCGGGAGACGTGATTTCCAAGAAGGACAACCGAATGCAGCTCAGAAATCAGCGTTCCACGTCCTATTTGTGCATTGTACCTCCTAAACCAGCGTATCAAAGGAGAGTACTTCTCACTGTCTCCGGACAGGCCAAGAAACCGCAGCCCTTCCCCCAAAACGACATGCTTTTTGGTTTTCTCCCTCATCTTCCTCGAACGTAAAAATGCTGCAGCAATTTTATCCAAGTGCTTATTTCCAATGAGGGCTCAAGACCATCCAGACCCAACCACGCCTGCCATGAGCAGGGACACCTCCCACTAGACCAGGTTGCCCAAGGCTTTATCTAACGTGGCCTTGAACACTGTCAGGGTTGGGGCATCCCTGGGCAACCTGTTCCACCGCCTCATCCCCTCCACAGTAAAGAATTTCTTGTTAATATCTAAGCCAAATGTCCCCCTCCTTTCGATTTGTAGCCAGTACTCTTTGCCCTACAGTCCACCACCAAATGATTAAACGACCACACAAAACGAGAATTTACCTTCCTAATTTCATCCAGCACGGTTTCAAATGATTTCTTATCCATCTTGATTATTGCCGACACTTAAACGTGGAGGAAATAATAGTAGTGATAAAAAAATGTCTTTGAGCATACAGGAAAAAAAAAGGATTAAAAAAAAAAAATAAATAAAAAACGCCGGGCACGGAAGGCGGCCGGGGCTGTGCTCGGCCCCGGGGATGGAGCGCTGCCGCCTCTGCGGTGGGGGACACGGAGACAAAAGCGCCCTCCGGGAGACGCCCGGTGCTCCCGCTCCCCGCGCGTCCCGCGGGCGCAGGGGTCGCGGCGGCGGCGGGAAGGGAAAGGAAGGAAAGGAAAGGGAGGAGAAGGGAAGGGCGGCAGCGGCCCCGCTCAGCACGCGGCACCGCGGCCCGGCCGGCCCGGGGCGCCCCCGCAGAGCATCGTTCGCGGCGGCGCCGCCGCCCTGCGATCCCCGCGGGCAGAGCCGGGGTGGACGCGGGCGGCCCCCGGGGCAGGCGGGCTAGGGAGGCCCGGAAGCGGCGTGAGCCCACAGACAGCGCACCCCCTCCGCCGGTCCCGCCTCTCTGCCGTCGCGCCCTTATGGCATCACGGCGCTGAGCAAAGGCCCTTTTCCGCGCTGGGCGACGACAGCGATGCCTGCGCAGGAGCGGCGGGAACTCGGGGTGGACTCGCCCCTCGCCCAGCTCCCGGCGCCGCTCCGGAGCGCTGAGCGCTGCCCCGGGGGCACCACCGAGCCCATCCCGCGCCGCCGCCGCGCCGCTGCTCCTGGTCCCGGTCCCGGCACGGCGCGGGGAGCAGCGGCCGCCGGGGCCGTGTGGGAGGGGCAGCGGCCACGTGGCTGCCATGGCAACCGGCCCGGCCCCCGGGAGGCGGGAGCGGCGGCGGGGCCGGGGCTGTCATGGCCGGGACGCTTCTGGTGCTGCTGGCACTGCTTGGCTGCTCCCAGGTGCGCGGCGGCCGCCCGGGGCTTCGTGCCAGGGCCTCTGGTTAGGGTGGGCAGCGGGGAGGGCCCGGCGGGGCCGCTGCGAGGGGCGCGCCCGGGGCGGGGGGTGCGGGCGGCGCCCCGGGACCCGCCCGCTCTCGGTGCCTCCCGCGCCGCCTGTGGCTTGAGGGTTCCGGGCGGAGGCTGCGGCACCGGGCGGCTTCGCAGCCCCGCCGAGGTAGTGCCTGCGCGGGGCGGCCCCTTGCAGGGGTTCAGACGGCGTGCTGCGCCCCAGCGGGGAGAAGGGGGTTTGTGGGTGGCTGACTTCCCGCTGGATGCGGGAAGTTCTCCTTGCTTGACTGCTCGCGGTTTTCCTTCGTGTCAGCCCGACCTTCCCGTCCGCAGCTCTGTGCCATCAGGGTGTCTGTCCCCTGGTCCCGGCAGGGCGAGGGGCACAAGTGTCAGCTGGCCCTGGGCCTTCAGGGTCGCCCGCGTTAATTCTTAGCTCTGTGCTGAGTGCTCTGTTTCAGTGCTTAGCTTCCCCTCTTCTGCTGCAAAAATAGAACAAGAAGGTGGAGAATTATTTTTTTCCGTTATTGTTTAAAATGTATACATTGACCCAAATCTGGTTCCTGGCATTTTACACTTTTCCATTTCCAAGGTGTCGTTTTCATTCCTGACCTGTATTTTTTTTCTTTTTCTTATTTTCACATCCTGAAGTGGCTACTCGATTTGGTGCATTTGGAACCTTCTGTACTATCTTCCTCATTTTGGAGAGTGATTCACAGATATTAACAGCTCTGCTGTAAGAAATTTCAGGGTGTGTGTTTTGCCTTCTAATTCTAGAGTTCCCCAGTCCAAAGGACTTGATTAGCTAGTTTTCCGATTGTTGAAGCTTTCCAAACCCCTGGCTGCAAGCCTGCTTCTATTTATCTGTCTTTAAATTGAGTAAATGAATTTATGATGCTTTTACTTTCACCTGCTGTTTCCTTCGATCCCACCCTCAATGGAATTTAACTACTATATATTTATTTTGTATTCTCAGGTTTCAAAAGCAAAGAACTTCTCTCATTGGAAGGGAGAGCAACAGATGTACAAGCTGGACATAGGCTGGCCTAAAGCTCCAGAATACTTCACTGGCCAAACATTTTGTGTTGCTGTTGACTCTCTCCATGGTTTGGTCTATGTAGGACAAGTGAGTGGAAATACCATATTTCTCTCTGTGTTGTTTTTGAGGTTTTTTGCCTTTAAAACGTCTGGTTAAGAGTAGGATATATATGTGTATATTTTTTTACATATATTTACATATTTTATATATATATATATATATATATATATGAATAATGATTCTATCAAACTCAGAGAAAATATAAACAGAGATGTCTCTACTAAATCTATTTCTGAAAGCAGCTCTGGCACAACATCTTTTTGTGGGTTTTTTTTAAAGCATTACATTTCTGTGGTATGAATGCATGATCCAACTTCACTGAGTTACAGCAGCTTGTTCCCTCAGCTGTAAGATAAAATGTGATTCTGGAGCAACTGAATCTTCCATTCTTTGAGGTCTCGTGCCATGAAATCAAAACCACACAGCTCTTTCAACCAGCTAGAGTAACTGGAGGTAAATTATTTCCTCTACCCAGGTCCATGTGTGAGTATCTCTAGGCCCTGGATAAGTCATTCTCTCCATGGAATGTGGTGGGAATGTCGTGTAAAGCACAGTATGAGTACTTGAGTGCCATGCAGCTGATGAGCACTGTTGCAGTTTGTCACGCCCATTACATTGGGCACACTTTTCAGCAGGAACACAAAATCACAATTCAAGCTGAAGACCAGGATAACTGCAGCACTTGGCTGCTCTGAAGGCTGGACTCAGTGTGATGTAAGGTGACAGTCTAGACTGATTGGAAGGTTTTTCATACTAAATTTAAACCCATGTCTCTTTTTCCTTTTCTTGCTGGAAAAAGAGTTCCAGCAAACAATCATATCAGGAGATTCTTTCAGTTTGTGAAACATTGCAAAAACTTCACTAAGAGGAATTTTAAACTATAAAATTAGTTACTTAATATGTTTCCTTTAGAACTTTTTTTACCTTTTCAGCGGGGAGACAATGTGCCAAAGGTACTTGTATTCTCAGAAGAAGGCTATTTCCTTCACTCCTGGAATGATACTGTTGAAATGCCTCATGGTATCTTTGTATGGAACACTGAAACAGGAAGTTCAGTATGGCTCACAGATGTTGGAACAGGTATGCATCGTGGTGATATGAGAAATATTCAGTGGGGAAGAAAATGTAATATAAAAAACTCACTTATTTAAGTGTCTCAAGCAATTCTGAGATAGATTTGTGCTTTACTTGCCATGAACCAACTTCCCATGTGCTGCACAAAATAGTCTGAACTTCCATGAGTTGTGGTGTGTGTCTGCTTAGAGCTGCTGAGCTTGCTCAGCACTCCTCCCTATCACCCAGAAGTATCAGGGAAAAAAGCCTGATAGACATAAGTTTAGCCTGGCTAGACCTAGGTTTAGTGGATGAATAGTGTCAGAGGCTGTGGATTTACTCACCCACTGTCATATAGAATTTTAGAATTTATTACAGAATTTTGTATGTTATATGTATTAATATCACTTATCAGATCTTCACTCTTTGAAGTTTTAATACTTACATTTTGTTTTGTTAAGATGTTTTTGCACTTTCTTTTTTCCTTGATTTAGGGAAATATGGACACACAGTGAAGCAGTATAGCCCTTTGGGTAAACTTTTGCAGGTCTTGGGCACACCTGGTAATGCTGGTTCAAGTTTGATTCCCCTGCAGTTTGATCAACCAGCGGATATCTTTGTGGAGGCGACTGGAGAAATCTATGTTGTGGATGGAGACGGAGGAATGAACAACAGGTTGCTCAAACTATCAGATGGTATGGAAAAAAGGAACTCTTGCAGTAGCTGACCACTGAAAACTGGATTTTAAATAACATGGCTTGGGAATATTTTTAGGCGAGTACTAGACAGAACTGTCATTTAACTTTAGCTTGAAGACCTTATTGAATCAGAACTTATTTTACTGCTTGCTCCTTCAGGAGAAATCTCCTAGTCATTCATGAGAAGGGGCTGAGAGAGTGACTTTGTTCAGTGTCCTGGTTACCCCAAGGACATTCAGTCTCCAAGAAAGACAGCTAAGGGGAATCCTTTTTGCTGTCTTTAGTCACTAAAAGGAGGCCGCAGAGAAGACAGAGGCACATTTGTTTTGAGATATACAGTGAAGAATGAGGAACACAGAGCAAAAGATTCAAGAGGGGTGAATTTCTGTTTGATTTTTGTTGGAAAGCATTCAGAGTTAGGGTGGTCAGACAGTGAATGACAGGGTTGTCCAAAGATGGTTTGCACTCTCCATTCCTGTAGATGCTCAAAAACTGATGAGTTATGGGCAACTTGATCTAACTTAAGAGTTGGATTTTTTATCAAGGCTCGTCCTGCTTTGAGGAGCAGGTTGGACCAGGCAGTGTCTGGAGGACTTTTATACTTTAATTGTTCTGTGATCCTAATTAGCTTACTCATACTCCTCAGTTCAGGCAGTGACTAAAGAGTCTGCACATGTCCACAGGTGGAATAAGTGGAGGAGATACTGTTTCTCCATTTTCCTATCAAAAAGCAGATACTTTCCTATTACTTAGTTTACAAAATGGTAAATGTTAAAAGTGAAAACTTCCAGGTAACAAGTTTTAAAAATAAATTTAGGAAATAAATGAATAGCATAATTGGCCAACTTCTTTTTTTACCTTTTTGTATTTTTTTTTAATTCAGTGTTTAACAGAACCTTGGATTATGGCTCTTGTGTATTACTGGCTACATTTTTGTAACCATAATCATGAAAGCACTAATAACAATCCAGGCATCACTGTAGTAGTCATATTTTCTCTGAGGTTTATGTATTGGGAGTACTGTGTTTAAACAGTTTAGAAATCTCACCTTTTACAAACTACCCAAAGTAACTTTGCAAGAGGTTGACTTAATAACTGGTTTGTTTGTTGTTTTCTCACTGTGATTTTTTTACTTTTATTTTTCATGGTGCTCACTGTTCAGACTACAAAGAGTTATGGCTGACTGGAACAAATGGGAGTGGTGTTGGTCAGTTCAAGATTCCTCACAGTGTAACAGTGGATGCTTTTGGACGGGTAAAGAATTGAGGAATTTTTTTAATTTCATCTTCCAACAGACTTGTTTATATGTATTTGAACAAAACATATTTTTTTTGTTTAAACTGTGTCACTTTATGGGGTTACAGTTTCCAAGCTGAAGTTTCATAGTGCAGGTTCTTTGGAAGCAGCTGACTCCAATGTTAACACCAGGATCCTGATCACTTACACTGTCAATGTCCATGCAACAACAGAGTTTGTAACAGATTGCCATTGTGAGACTACAGGAGAATTGTGTTCTGTAATATATAAAAGCACTTCTGTTTCTTCATGTAGAAGCAGCAGCCTGCTGGGGCCATCCTGACCTTGATTAACAGCTCTTCTCCCATGGGAAAGTGCATACCAAAGGATCGAGTCCAGCCATAAATATCTGTGCTTTGATGTAAAACCCAGAAAACTGGGCTGTGAATGTGTGGGATGAATGATAAGAGCTAGAAACATTGGCTCTGCTCTTTCTGGTTTTTTGTGGTTACTTTCTCTCTCCTGCTGGCTGGCTGTGTAGTTGATCCTAAAACTTGTTCATAGAAGAAGCATGGAAATACTCAAGTGTGTTTATTAAAGACGATCCTGCTAGATGACAAAGTGGTGGTCCATTACCCTCAGTTGCTACACTTCAAGGGGCTTTAATTTCATATTTTGAAATTCCAAATAACCTTTAGGTGATAGTGAGGCTCTAGCTAGGTTGTGGACATTATTCTCTTTTACGTGCAGCTCAAGGCATTCCAAGAGTCTGCTTCTGCCAGGCATTAATTGTAAGTCTGGCTTTTGGTCTTCTGGTCCTAGAGAGGAGTTATGCAGTCACTTCCTAATCTGTTTCAGGGAAAATAAGATTGCTTCACTAAAACACCACTGGTTGAAGCTAATTCTGCTGATGCAGTCTGAATCAGAATAAGAAGTGTATATAAAATGAATTCTCTGCCAAAACTGGCAGAGTGGGAGAAAAAACAGGAGGAGCATGGTCACTTTATGCTGCAAAATAACTGTGAGTTTATTCATTCAAAGACAGTGACTGGAATAAGCTATGATTTTACTGCCAACGTAGTGTGGATCATCATTTTAAGTTGAGAATTAATTGTTAATTCGCAAGAAATCTAAGACAATGCTTTAATAGTGCTTCATTTAAAAACAGTGATGAAAGGTCTAAGGTTATGCTAAGGTTGTTTTTTGCTCCCTTTTTGGTGATACTCCAGAAAAGTCATGAAGTTTACTTACCAGACTTATGACTTGTCAACAGCTAAAACTTCAGTGATTGTTGTACAAAAAATGCCTTCATTGGGACTGTCTAGTGGTATTGCTGGCTTGCAGTGTTTGTGAACCCAGTTAACACAGGGTGGGACAGAGACAAAACTGGTTAGACAAAACCAGCTAAACATGCTCTAAGTGTTTAAATGGCTAAATATTTGTAGTAGTATTAGGCATGTCAGGAGTGTTTGCAGATCATGATCATGAAATGAGACTACTACTGGAAAAAAATGCAGGTGACAGACTTAAGACAGATCTTTGAATTTAATAGGTGGAAATATGTCCTCATTGTGGGGATAAAAATCCTACCAAATATGTCATATAGCCACAAAAAAAGAAGAGAAGGTGATAATTTCTCTATTAAAGTAGTATAAAATAATTTGTGTATGTTAACTTGTAGGTCAGTTTTGGTTTATATCTGGCAATCTGATCTATTGATTTAGTTTTGAATGGCAAGGTATGCATTCTTCCAGGGTACAGTCTTCCATTTTTACTACAGGGAACTTTGCTCTCATAGGAAACAAATGCATTTAATTTGTTCTCTTTGTTGACCATGATTTTTCTTTTTGATAGGTATGGGTTGCAGACAGAGGCAACAAGAGAATCCAAGTTTTTGATAAAGTCACAGGAGAATGGCTTGGGTCTTGGAACGGCTGTTTTTCAGATGATGGACCCTATTCTGTCAGGTATTGTTGAACAGTTCTAGAAACACACAATTATGTAAATAAGGTGTACTCTTACTGGTGAATTAAAATGTTGATATTTAATGCATGCAGACAAGGAGTTAACCAGTGAAATAAGGTGCTAGGTGTTTCTTGAACAAGTTTTCTGTAGCCTAATGTGTCTTGGTAAGCAGCCATATGAAGAGCAAGGCTTACAACTTAATTCCCAATGTTACATTGCATTTTGTTTTGGTTGTAGCCTTCAAAATTGTGATTGTTAAAGAGATTTTGTTTGTGTTAAAATGAGGAGTTCATAGTTCAAAAATATGTTTATCTTTCACAGGTTTACTGCTGATTACAAATATCTGATTGTAGCTCAGCTGAATATCAACCGGTTGGCAATCTTGCAAGCACCTCCAGTTGGCTCCATTGGGGACTGTGCCATAGTCCACAGTGTCCAGCTGGCTGATGAAACCAAACCACACCTTGTGGATGTAGACATGAGGAGTGGAGCAGTCTATGTTGCAGAGATTGGAGCCCAGCAAGTACAAAAATATGTACCCTTAAGCTGATAGTTTCCCACAACTGCTGTGGCACAAGCTGTGTGACATTTAAGACCTATAACCACATTTCCTTGAGTTCTTTATGGATTGTGTTTCCTTAGACAAGCACAGAACTGCACAAGTGCTCCCAGAACTGTAGGACTATGACTCTGTCCTAGCTATTCTGGAGAAATACTTGGTGTTGAGCTGTTACTTGTTTAAGTAATGATATGGTGGCTTTTACTTTTGTTCCAATTATAAAATGATAAGCATTTTAATTTTATTATATAAAACTTTACAAACACAACTCTTCATCTTAAATGTATAGAGCCAACTTGGGGCTCTTCTTAGCCTGTGTTTGTTGTTAAATGGTCAGAAATGTCTGAAAGAAGTTCTATAAATTATTTCCTGAGAGAAGAGCACTTCATTTCAATGTTTCTTCACTTTGTTTTCTGAATGGTTGTGCTGATACTGTCCAACAGAGAATATAAGGATGTGTCACAATGTTAAATTAGATGCTGCTGGATATTGGTGTCAGTACTGGCATCTGCCTTAGGTGGTTAATGACATAAGTATTGAAATCTGTTTTCAGCTCTAGCTAAAGCCATAAAGTCTGTAATAAGCTTGAGCTAAATTGATATTAGACACTTCAAACTAAATTAAAAGTATCTCCACAGCAGCCAAGTACTGATTTTTAACTAAATTAGTTCTTAACCTTATTTGATTTATATCAGCATGAGTTTTCAGTTCCATAAGATTTCATAGTAGAACATATTGAGGTTCCAGTCGTGTAAGTTCCTCAAGAAAAACAAATTGCAATTTGCTATGAAAGTTTTAATCAGCAGTAGAGACTGGGAGACATATGATTTTCTTCTGATTTAATTGAAGCTCTGTCAGTTAACAGCAAAGCATCTGTTTTAATTTATTTCCAGAACTCAGACTTCATCAGCTTCATTAATGTGTAGAGTTAAGTTTCTTACACTATATTATAGCAGATGTCTCTAAGCTCTGTCCTAAAAAATCCTGCTTCTCCATTCCCAGAACAAAGTGGTTCTCCTTTCTTTGCATGTTGCTACAAGAGTTTAAGTTCACTTTATAGCATAGAGGGAACCAGGTATGGGGAAAATGGCATGGCAGAAATGAAACCATGTATAACTGATTACCATGGTAAAACTGTGGATCCACATTCCGTATTTTCTAGCTCTTGGAAAAATATGAGAGGATTCTTGCTGTTTCCACACATTTATTCTACTGTGGATTATTTTAATGCTAATTACCAGCTAAGAGAGGTTGTTTTTTTCTACTTTCTTAGAAAGGGAATATGAAAATGGAATTGTACTGATGGGAAATACCTACTTCAGTGAATACTGTCAAAAGCAAATGCTACTTAATTTGGTAGGTTTCAACCTATGATCACAAACTTGTGAGTCAGCAGATGAAAAAGCTGTTCAGAAAAGTCAGATTCATATTTTCTCTGAAAAGTAATTCAGCTATGGAGCCTGACTGCCTGATTTCAGCACTATGTGAGATTAATGCATTAAGTGTGAAAGCTTTGTTGTTGGCTACATCCACAACAATAAGACCAGATCCTACCTGGGGCTGCCCTCACTCAAGCCTTAAAAGCAGAACTTTAAGGTTATACACTAGCCAGTATGGCCCATCACTCATGTGGTCTTGAAGGGGAGCTAGTAAGCAATATTTATTTGCTGACAAAGTAGCAGTACTTCCTCTAGACCAATGTGAATATGTCTACACAGTGTGTTGTGTGGCTTTTCTAACTAGTTTTTGACTAGCTCAGGGATCTCTGCTCTGTGTGCAATTTAGGTATTTCTTGTCTACACAAGGTGGGTTTATTTTATAAAATTTTACTATAAAATCATGATTTGAGCATATCTTGGTGTGTAGGGGGTCCAGGCATACCCATCTTTCTTCACTACATCCTCTCCTTATTTATTTTTCCTTTGTCACATCCATTTGAAAATAGAACTCCAAGCTCTCTGGGAACATGTTTTTGTATTCAGTAAAGCAATGTAGTGCACTTTTGGATGTTGACAAATAACTTACTTGTACAAGTTTCTGCTTGCTGCATGGATCTGCTCTCAGCTCTTTCTCAGGAGCTTTTGGCTCCAAGAAGTGGGGAGCATCCATCCAGTTTTGTGTGGATTTACTGAAATAGATCAAGGTGCCAAAATGTGCCTCGCCACTAGGCATTTGGGTATCTGTGATAACAAGGGTCAAGGGATGCTCATTATTAATAATTATGAGATGCTTAGACTCTATTTTATCTGTGTTTATGGCTAGACTGAAAAAATGATTTTGTGCACTAACTTGCTAATTATCTGAATTTTTTCTTATGTATCGTCTTGAAACCAATTTCTGAAGAAATGCATAGCAGGAGAATTTGATAAAATAAATTGAGAGATTCGCATTAATAAACTCTTGGGTGTTTTATTTCTGTACTGATATAAATACACTCCATTGTAATGGATTGCTCTTCTAAATACAGGGCCTTCAGCACTTAAATAAGGTATTTAATAATTTCTGATAGCAAGATTTGAATGTAATCTAAAATTCCATGTTATCTTTATGCATCACTATTTCTGTGGCCAATCTCTTTTGCATTCTAATTTATGTATCAACACAGAGACATAAATATCTCTCATCTGTTTCCCTCTGAGTAATTAGTAAAATGCAATGATGAGTTACATAAGTGCCAAGTTTAAAAAAAAAAGCATTTAAACTGTATACCCTTATGATACTAATTGGGAAATTAAAAGAAACTAACAAAACACTTCTTATACCAAACCAGGTTTTATTTTCAGAAAAGATTTACTGACCAGTCTGTCTTGTTTTTAGAAGACCTAGAAGGATTTTCTATGGATTAGAAATACTTGCACAAGAAAAAAAGTAACATACTGCAGTGTTAACTAGATAAGAGAGGAACCTAAGGTGATTGCTAAAACCATCCAGAAATCTAATTTCAGGTAATCAGTGCCTGCTTTTAGATGTGAACAGTAATCACTGGAGTATTCAACTAATGGAAATAAAAATACCCTCTATTTTAATTTCTCCAATTTTGCAGGCCTTTTTTTTTTTTTGGGGTAAGTATCCAGGTTGTTAACTGGATGTGTTTCCAGGAGATCACATAGGCCTCTCCCTGCACAGAATCATAGAATGGTTTGGGCTGGAAAAGACCTTCAAGGTCATCTGGTTCCAGCCCCTCTGCCATGGGCAGGGAACTTTGCACTAGATCAGGTGGCTCAGATATCCAACCCCACCTTGAACACTTCCAGAGATGGAGCATCCACAACTTGATTGGGGAACCTGTGACAGTGCCCCATTATTCATGATTGATTTGTGATGCTCAACAGCCTTTTTTTGTGTGTGTGTTCTCACAGTCAGAAATGTATTACCTATATTTGGCCAAAACAGGAAAAGGCCGAGTGAGGTTTGTGCTATGCAAGATCAGGTCAGTGAGCCTAAGCACCTCAATAAAAGCTGAAGGGGAGGGTACAAAAGTATGTTTGTGGGTCTGTTCGTTGCTGGGAGTTCACTGCCTCTGTGGGTAAGTTCTCTGCCTTTCAGAGGTTGTTAACCTTTTAGAAGCATCAGTAGTCAGTCACTTATCTCAGTTAGCACTTACTTTCCTAACAATTTGTGTCCCGAGAAGCCTTCTCAAGCGATCCATGCAGCCACTCAGATTGCATGTACCCAACGTAAGAGGGCACCAAACCCCTGCTGATGCTTGGGGCACTCCGTGTGAGGACAGACCTAACAGCTGGCACTTCCTGAACGCTTTCAGTAAGTCAACAAAGATAATGAAGTGCTCCAGACTTCCTTTCTCTTTTCAAAATAGACTGCTTTAGGCATAAGCTGATCATAGAATCATAGTAATTTTGCCCTGTTATTACTGGATTTATGTCCATCTTTTATTTCCATGGTTTTCCTAGGGAAAAAAAAAATCAGTAATTCAGTCTCCAGAGACAACTGGATATTGTGAATTGATTCTTGTAGTGCTTCCATCCTTGGTTTCAATTGAATTAATAGTGATAGGTTGCTTTGGAAACAGTAATTTATAACAGTATAACTGTAGCAGAATAATTATACCAGGAGAGTGATGCCAGTATGTTTCCCTACAGAAGTGACCCTGAGTAAGATTAGAGCTAAATTTACTTAATCTCATTCACCAATTTTATTGTACCGCTCCTTCCTCAGCCTTTGTTTTAAAAAATCTTGCTCTGGTTTTGTATTGCTATTTTATCCCACTCCTTTGGGAAAATGCATCTACAAAAATTGTATTTTCCAGTAGCTGCCATAAAAAGGATAGAACACAGGCTTTTCTTCAGGTAAATGATTTGATATTGTTTAATCATTCAGTCTTTCAGTGTTCATAAATCATTAAATTCATGTTGCTTAGATGAAATTTTAAAAGTAGGAGCATATGAATTGATGCGCACAGGATGATTTGTTACTGTATTAAAGCCAAAGTAACACTGATATAAATGAGATGTTGAATAGACATTCTTTATCATAGTATCACATGTTTCAAGTCTTAGGAAACCACATGTAATTGTGTAACTGGATCTGCAAAACAGAGGTGAAAAATACTGCTCATTTACCACAGGAATAAGCCTGATAATTCAGTCTCAGCTGTGGAGGAATCTCTTACAAACAGTTTAAGACTTGAGAAATCTCTTTAATCTCTTGAAGAGTCTGTATAGTTAAATTTTTCCTACCAGTCAATAAATATTAGGAAGGGGATGCTTTATATTTAATCCGGGTTAATTTGTTTTCAACACCCTGTCTTCTGTTTCCAGATAGCTTAGAGATTAAATATGGCTTTTTTTTTTTTCTTATCACCCATTGAATCATTTACAGATGAATACTGAGTCATCTCTTCCTCTACTCCTTATCTAAACCATATATTCTGGAAAACGTGATTTGCAATGGAAAACTGATAAGACTATAATTTCAAATGTTTTTGTAGCACTTTTTAATAAAAACAAACAAATGCAGAAGAATGTTTACTGTGCTACAGGAAGTCTGAATATTAGAATTCCAGCACTAAACCTATCTGTGGGCTGTACAGAAGTAATGCTATCCCCCACATGATTTGGTGAGGCTGAATTTATCCCTACGACTAGCTCTCAGTACAGTACTGTCTCTGACAGTTGTCAGAGAATT